GGTGTCTTGTGTCCAAATTTGGTGTCAATTCGTCCAGTGGTTTTTAGTTCTGTTAATCCCACAAAGGAACATTACATTTTTATTTATATAGATAAACCCTTTATATAACAATAAAACCAATCAAACCTTCCTGCATTTTGGAAATTGGGTTAATATATCCTCGATCCTTATCTCCAGGGATGAAGACACAAACATATATTCTAGATGCCTCGAGGAAGAAAGAAAGCCTTTGCCTTCAGGTCTCGGGAGACTTAGTTCTCGGGGACCACAACTCCCGATCCATCAGAGGACATGATGCATACATTCCTTTTCCTTATATTATTATATAGAGATAGATAGCTACATAAACATGGATGGTTGTCTCTTGGGATGAAGAGGGAGGGAGGGAAGGGGAGAGAGAAGGACCCTCCCCGTTTTGGAAAATGGCATTCCTAACCTTTTGGAAAAACACCTTTTGGGGATAATTACTTTTTAGAAAAGCTGACTTTTCAGAGAAGAGCCAAAAACCCTTTAGAGGAGAATCTTCTCTTCTGGTATACAACCAGATCTAATTATGCAAGGCAGTGGTTTCAGTTGTTAGACTGAATAACCTGATATCTCTGATTTGCTAGTAAAACAGAGATTTACCTGTGCATAAGAACAGCGGAGCTTCAGAAGTGTTCCTCAGTGCCCAAAAACATATAGACTCCCCCATAAAACAAACTGTTCTACATCATGCTCTCAAGAGACAAAATGAAGTAGACTTTGATAAAAAAAAAAAGATAACATATTCGGTTTACTCACGGCCTTCATGTGTTCAGCATACACAGGTACAAAACGTATCAATCCAGTTTCAGATATGTTTGAGAGAATTCTCTGTGCCATCCGGCCGGGGCATCTCTCTTGTAACCAAACAGCTATCACCAGGTCACATAGTCCAAAGGAGAGAGAGAGAGAGAGAGAGAACACGTGTGGTCTGCTGCTCATTTTATAACTTCTCAGGAAGCATAGAGTAAAGGAAGCTGCATACCAGAACATACATACAGAAAACAGTAAGCAACAGGATCATAGATAAACATTACTAGAGAAGGCGTGAAGAGCCTCCCATCTTGTGACCTCCCTTTTTGCCTTGATGATGGGAAGAGGGGTCTCACCTCTATCAGTCATCTTCCCCTCCCCTCTTCCATTCTTATTCTTGGGTCCCATTCCCAACAGGGTCAAGACATCCTCGACCAAGAGCTGCCATTCAAAGTGAGCGGAACCCCTTCAAACCAGGGCAGGCAGGCGGTCCCTGTCCCTTTCCACACACATAGACAGTATATTGAGGATGCCATGAGGAAGAGGGGCTTTGCCTTCAGGCTTTGGGAGACCCCTTTCTCTGGGACTCCAACTCCCAGCATCCCCAACCCTGGTGCCAGGCCTTTCTGCAGGGATGGTGGGAGTTGTAGTCCAAGAGGGGCATTCCCTCCACTCTCTGCAGCGGGAATTCCCAGGCCTCAGCCCTCCCCCTTGCTCACTTCAACTCCCAGAAGCCTCAGCTGCCTTGAGCCAAGGTCGGGGATTCTGGGTGATGGACTCCCAGGAAGGGGGAGGAGGACTGAAGTAAGGAAGGAAGGAAGGGAGGGAGGAAAAAGGGAAGAAGGAAGGAAGGAAAAAAGAGGAAGGATGGGAAAAGGAAAGAAGGAAAAAAGGAAGGAAGGAAAAAATGGAGGAAGGAAGAGAAAAGGAAAAAGGAAGGAAGGGAAAAGGTAAGAAGGGAAAAGGAGGAAGGAAGGGAAAAGAAGGAAGGAAAAAAGGGAGGAGGAAAAAAGGGAGGAAAGGAAGGGAAAAGGAAAAAAGGAGGAAGGAAGGGAAAAAAAAAAAAAAAGGAAGAAGGGAAAAAGAAGGAAGGGAAAAAGGGAGGGAGGAAGGGAAAAGGAAAGAAGGGAAAAAGGGAGGAAGGAAGGGAAAAGGTAAGAAGGGAAAAAGGGAGGAAGGAAGGGAAAAGGAAGGAAGGGAAAAAGGGAGGAAGGAAGGGAAAAGAAAGGAAGGAAAAAAGGGAGGAATGAAGGGAAAAGGGAGGAAGGAAGGGAAAAGGAAAGAAGGAAAGAAAGGAGGAAGGGAAAAGGTAAGAAGGGAAAAATGGAGGAAGGAAGGGAAAAGGAAAGAAGGAAAAAGGGAGGAAGGAAGGGAAAAGGAAAGAAGGGAAAAAGGGAGGAAGGAAGGGAAAAGGAAAGAAGGGAAAAAGGGAGGAAGGAAGGGGAAAGGAAAGAAGGGAAAAAGGGAGGAAGGAAGGAAAGAAAGAAAGGAAGAAAGAAAGAAGGAAGGAAGGGAGGAGGGAAGGAAGGAGAAGCCATCTCTCTCCCTCTCTCTCTCTCTCTCTCTCTCTCTCTCCCTCTCTCTCTCTCCCTCCCCCTTGGCAGGCCCAGTCCTCTCCTGTGTGGAGGCTAAGCCCCGCCCTCCTTGGGGCACCGTCTCTGCGGGCGCCATCTTGAGGCCGGGCGGGAGTAGAGCGAGAGGGAGGCCTCCGCTTCCCAGAGAGGCAGGAAGAGAGGGGAGGGGAGAGGGACGCGCTTCCCTCTGAGCTCACTTCCGGAAGGAAGGAAGGGGGGCCAGGCAGGGCGGGCGCCAACCTCTCTCTGCTGCGGCCTAGCTGCCTCCCTCTCTCTCCCTCTCTCGCGTGGATCCCGCCAGGACGGAGGCTTCTTCCCCCCCCCTCTCTCTTCGGAGCCGGAGGTGAGCTCCCAGCAGGCATCCCATGGCCTGCCTGCCTGCCTCCCTTCCTTGTTGCCAGGCGCCATGTCCTGAGGCCTCTCTCCCACCCCCTGCCAGGCGTGGCTGTGGCCCAGCCTGCTGATCTGGAAAATAAAGTATGGAGAAAGTGTTTTTGGCCTTCAACTCCCCGAAATCCTAACAGCTGGTAAACTGACTGGGATTTCTGGGAGTTGTAGGCCAAAAACATCTGGGGACCCCCGGTTGAGAACCACCTCGATGTTCTAGGGGTTGTGTGGAATCCTCGCAATCTTCTTTGCTTTTGTTCTATAATCTCTTGATAATAGGTTGAACTAAAATCCAGCAACTACAAC